GACGTCTTAATTTCCAAATCTGATGGTCTTTTTCCAGTTCTCAGTCTTCCCCACCTCTCTGTAGCATTTGACACTGTTGAACACCTACCTCCTCCTGGATACTTGATCTTCTCTGGGTTTTTGTGACTATATTCTCTTTTGGTTTTCCTATTTCACCTCTTTTTCTCGGCCTTCTTTGCTAGCTGGTCATTCGTATCATAGAGGATTTACCCTTGGGCTCTGTCCTGGGTCCTCATCTCTATATGCTTCTGTGGTTTTAAGATTATCTTTATGCATGTGAATCCAGTTTGTATATATCAAACCCTCATCTTTCCCCTGAGTTCTAGTCATATATCACCAATTATCTATTAGACATCTCAAGTTAGATGTCCTGAGGACAAATTCAATTCAGTATATGTAAAACTGAACTTTCCCTTCAAAGCCATCCTTCTTTCTAGCTTCCCTGTTTTTGTTAAGGGTGCCACAACCCTTCTAGCCTCCCAGGTTCACCATCTTGGCATTATTATTAATGTCTCATTCCCCCGTGCACCACTTACCTGGTCTGTTGTCTGGTCTGTCTGGGTGTTTCTGCCTCCACAACTTGTCTTAACTCTTCTCCACTCACACAGCCACCACCTTAGTTCAGGCTTTCATCACCTCTCACCTGGATTGTTGTACTGTCCTCTTGCCTCAGGTCCTTCCCCATTTAAATGAATCCTCTAACTCAACTGCCAACTGATTGTCTGTCAGTACAGCTCTAGTCATAAACTCCAGTATGTTGCCCCTATTGCTTCTAGAATCAGATGCGGACTCCTCTGTTTGACATTTAGGCATTCAAAGCCTTTCACAGACCTGCCACAATCTACCTTTCTGGTCTTATTATACGTTAATCTGCTTCCCAAACTGACTGTCTTGGTGTAACACTCACACATGCAGATGTGCACACCCATGTGGCTCTCTGTCTCCAGTCTCCTAGCTTCTGCATGGAGCCTTTCTTAATGGTTCCCCTCTCTCCTACCTCCCTAAACTACTGAATACTTTTTTTTTTTTTAACATCTTATAATTTCATCTGTATAAGGGCAGCTAGGTGGCACAATGGATAGAGTTCTGGGCCTGAAGTCAGGAAGGCTCATCTTCCTGAATTCAAGTAGTGTCTCATGCACTTACTAGCCATGTGACCCTGGGCAAGTCACTGAACCCTCTTTGAGCTGGAGAAGAAAATGGCAAACCACTCCAGCATCTTTGCCAGGAAAACCCCAAAAGACTTATGATGAAAAATTCTGTCCATCCCTAGAGTCTGAATACAAATCGACACATACTTTTTTTTTACTTTCTTAATTGGAATGGGAAGGGGGTGTTGGTCTGTGTTTTCTTATACATATGTTTTTCATGACTATAACTGTATAACCTGTATTAAATTGCTTGCCTCATTGAGGGGGTGGGGAGTGAGGAAGAGAATTTGGAACTCAAAATTTTTAAAACGAATGTTAAAAATTGTTTTTACATGCAATTAGGGAAAAATAAAATACTAAACAAAGAAAAAAAAGAAAACCCCAAATTGGGTCAAGGAGAGTAGGACATTACTGAAGAACAACAAATTAGTAGCATGTGAGGAACTCTATCAAAGCAAATAAATACCTTACTCTTCTACTTAAAGAGTTGCTTGGGGCACTAAGAAGTGAGATGACCTGCTCTAGAGGTACTATTTGAATGTACTATGGAACTTGCATTCTGGTCTTCCCAACTTCAAGGTCAGGCATACCTGACACCTAGTAGGCACTTAAGAAATGCTTATTGTCTGATTGATTACATCATACTCCCTTTCCCTGGTTTTTATCTGCCTTCAGATTCCAGACATATTTACTCCCAAGAACCATGTTACTTAGTGAGGGTGGGGAAGAAAATCCTAGGGCTATAATTTTATGCTATCACCTCGAAGCCTTGATCCTGAACTTGAACCAGGTAGTGAATCATATTAATATAATCAATCCTGAGTGCTAATGAGCAGATTTTAAGCTTACATTTTTAATAAACTCTAGTTTCTGACCTGATTTAAAGTAGAACAAAACTTTGAAATTTTGGAAAGTAGTTAATTATCCCTTTTTAGTACAGAACTCTGTGGCACAGAAGGGTGGTTGCCATAGTAATTAATTTAGGTCCTTGACTGGAATAGGTTGTTAATGACCCTTAGGATGGACAGAAAAATCTTAAGCAAGATGCTCTTCATTGCCAGATATAATCTTTAATGGAGTCTTTGTGCCCATTCTGCTCAGCAGAAGGAACCTTAGGTTTTATAGGGAGAGAATGCCTGTCCTTCAGGGCTATGAGAGAAGTCCTTCTTGAACCTTAAAGCACCATGTAACAGAGTTGTTATTAGTGACAAGGGGGTTTGAGCTTATTAGTCACAAGGGGATTTGTGCCTGTGGCAGCTTCCTTTTGAATGATGTCAGCCAAAGACAGAAAATCTTACAGTATGTATGCTCAGCCTTCTAGCCTATTATAAATACACATGTGGAAACAAGGAAATGCTCATGTGATCAACAGAAACCCTAGGGCAGACAGCACACCTGAGGAGGCCATGAAAGTACCTGGGGCTTTTTACATGTGGTCGGATAGACAGTAACCTTTTTTGTACCTGTCATATATTTACCATATTCTGTTTTGTATTATTTTAAAGGGTGTGCCAATAGCTTAAACTGCACTAAGACTTTTGGATACCCTGTATTTTTATGTGTACATATCTTATCTCCCCACCCTTACTACATTTTACAGTCATTCTTGATAAGAATACTTTATTTATCTCTGTAACCTTCAGTTCCTGGCACAGCTTATTTTTGCTGTTTGTTGAACAAATGATGTTCCTAGTAATATACTATGAGATCCTTTCCAGAGGCTTGTGTGGATTTGTATTAACTGATAGATATTTTCATTTGTTGGGACTGATAGCTAGTATTTATGTCAGTCATTAGTGATACAGTCTTTGACCGTGAAATAGAATGCAGTTAACTGGCCCTTGGTCGGTCTAAATGCCTCCTCTTTGTCTCATTAGCATTATATACTCTATGTTTTTGCCAAACTGGCCTACTTATCTCTTCTATCTCTTTGGTTTTTTTTTGTTTGTTTTTTTTTTTTGCTTTTTGATGAGGCAATCAGGGTTAAGTGACTTGCCCAGGGTCACACAGCTAGTAAGTGTCATGTGTCTGAGGTCGGATTTGAACTCAGGTCCTCCTGACTCCAGGGTTGGTGCTGTATCCACTGTGCCACCTAGCTGCCCCAATAGGGTTCTTTTTTATTTATTTATTTATTTTATTTTTTGGGCAACTGGGGTTAAGTGACTTGCTCAGGGTCACACAGCTAGTAAGTGTTAAGTGTTTGGTCTGAGGTCAAATTTGAACTCAGGTCCTCCTGACTTCAGGGCCTGTGCTCTATCCACTGTGCAACCTAGCTGCCCTTCCACCTCTTTGCTTTTGAACAGGCTGTCTGTCCCCCATGCCTGGTTCGTTGGTGTCTCATAATCCAACTTTACAGTGTAATTAATTCCTGAGGTCAGAGAGCATTTCATTTTTGTGATTATATATCTAGCATTTAGCACTGTGCTTAATGTGTAGTGGACAATCATAGCACAATGCCTGGCACGTAATAAGTGCTTAATAAATGCTTATTGACTGACTAACTTAATAAATACTTACTGAATTGAATCGTGTTCCAGTCAATACCGCTTATGTAACAGTGCTTATGGACAGAGAAATGGTAGACAGAACCAGAGCATTTCAATGAGATGATTTCTAGTCAGAGTTTAGCTATGCTAAGGAAGTTTAAGTATTTTGAGTTTTTAATACTTATTTATTATTATTGTTGTTGTTTTTGTTGTTGTTATGCTGTGTTGACTACCTGAAAGCTATTGTCTTCCCAGGGCTTCAGTTTCCTTGAACAAAGAATAGAGTCTGGTAAACCTTAAATTCCAGAATCTGCTTGCAGACTATAAAGGAAAAGCTTTATTTGGTCTCACAGTAACTTTTAAACAGATAGTTAAAAAGAAAATTAAAGACAAAGAGCAGGAAACACCAAGTTATTTAGGAAATTAGCTCTGGAACTATGATGAATTTTAACGAATTCATTAAATATTATTATACATATTTTTTCTCATATGTTTGTTATTTTCAGTAGTGTCTATTTATGATCCCATTTGGAGTTTTCTTGGCGGAGATACGAGAGTAGTTTGCCATTTCCTTCTACAGCTTATTTTACTGATGAGGAAACTGAGGCAAACGGGATGAAGTGACTTAGTAGGGTCACACAGCTAGTGTCTGAGGCAGAATTTGACCTCAGGAAGATGAGTCTGCCTGATTCCAGGCCTGGCATTCTATCCACTCTGTTACCTAGTCACACATGTAATGCTTCTTAGCTTTCAGGATTTTTTTTTTTTTTTTTAGGACTGTAGGGCTCCATGACTGACTTCATTTAACTGTAGGGCAGCTATACTGGGCATCCCTTCCTTTGGATGCTCAATGAGGACAAGTAGTTGTTTGACTGAAAACAAGAGAGTATTAAAAGTGATTATCTGTAAAATTAAGAATAAAGTAATTTCTAAGGTCCCTTCCAACTCTTAACATTCTGTGATCTCTACTTATTTCTTGTTGGAGAGCAGAAACCAGAAGTGCATTGATTATCATCAGTTCAGCATGTGACATCCTGTTAAAAGAAAAGTAGTCTTAACATTTAACAGGTAAAAATAAGTCAGCCAGTAGGCACAGACTAAGTGTTTAATATGTGTGAGGCACTGTGCTAAAAGGGGCATAAAGGAAATGCTGGAGCATAGCTCTCCCTCAAGTTTGAATTCTAGTGGAGGAGATGGCATGAAAATAACTAAGTACATGCAAGATATACTGAGTAATGAAAGGTAATCTCAAAGGAAGCTTTGAGCTCTCTTCTAGAGAAATAACTATTCAGATTAGACTGTACACTAAAGTTCAGTAGTTTTGATATGTATACTAATTTTTAAAATTTTAATTGCTTATCAGAGGAGACCTTACAGAAGACAACATGGAAACAGAAAATGCAGCAGCTGCAGCCGCAGCTGCTTTCACAGCTTCTTCACAGCTGAAGGAAGCAGTATTAGGTAGGAAACATGCAAAGCATTTCTTTTTTCATCACTTATTCACATTACTCTACCTCAGAATATTTTAAAGGACTGTATTTGCCTTTTATCAATATTGGACATGATTCTCTAACTTAGAAGACCTGTTTTACTTTTTGAAGAGACTATAGGCTGTCATTTTTAATGAATTTTCTTTTTTTTAACTTCTATTATAGTAGTCTTAATTTTCTCTTAAACTTGATTATCTCCAATGTCATTCCAGCTTTAAAATTCTGAGTCTGTGATTACATCTCTGCTATTATCTGGTGAAGATAGTGCTTATCATGGCACTTTGCTGCCCTCTTCTGTTTCATTCTTTTACTACTAGTTTGTTCATTTGAATACTTTATCAGGATTTATTGTTATGATTGTGTTGATAACTCACAACCAAAAACTTTTTACAGAAAATGTTAGTAGATATTTTTATAACATTTTTAATATTTTTCTTTCTACAAAATTAAAAATCTCATAATCATTGAAAACAGTATAAGGAAATTTCAGTGTAATTGTTTTAAATAAAACTTGACTTTACCTCCTAAAGGGATTCTTCAGCTTCTGGACTTTTGACTTTGCTAAATTGGTGGGCATTTCATGGATATCTATTAGGTTTATAAGCAGCCCAAAAGTTGATTTGTATATTGATTGTTTGGAACTTATATCACAATTTCCCATAGAAATACTGTGTTAGGTGGTAGATAGGTTAGCAGGCTAATCTGTATTGTAGCCTATGTTGTAGCTGAACTAGAGTGGCAATAATTTAAGCTACATCTTTGATTAAATGGTTCTAGCTAAACCAGACTACTTGACTTTGCTCAGCTTCATCCTGTCATTTCCTCCTCTGTGCTTTAGCACATGCTGTCTTCCATGGCTGGAACATACTTCTTCCATCTGTTGAAATCCTTCTTTTCCTTTACGACCCAGTGTGGGTGACACCACCTCCATAGAATCTTCTCAGATACCCTCTAGCTATGAAGTAATCATCCCTTATTCATATTTCTCATACCATTCTATTATGACTTTTCCTATGGTCTTAGGCTACTTTTGCATGTGTATTTTTTTAATAGTTATCTAAATGTTTGTTTTATTCCAGTGTAGATTATAAATCTTTTGAGGGTAGGTCTTATCTTTGTATCCCTAAGGTCCAAGACATTACATAGCACATAGTAGGTGCTTAATAAATGTTTGTGGAATTGAATTGAAATATACTGTGATGGGTTAGCCTGAGAACTTCGCCACCACTTGTAAGCATTATTTCTATGGGAGATGATTTTTAGATTGCCAAACTGGAATTAAGGATGTTGAAAACACATTTGCTCTATAGTAATAGCAAAAGGGAGTCCTTTACTCTTGTCTTTTTTTCCTCCCTGGATATAATAGATGTTTATAAATTAAATGTCCTATCTTAGGAACTGCCTATAGCTGAATTTTCAATTTGTAGATAATTAGTTGTGCTTTCTGCATTTGCAGAAAACAGTACTGAGAGATTGTAATTGATTTTCTTTCCTTTCCTTCTTCCTATCTGTATACCTTGTGAGAAGTGAAGATGGCTGAAGAGGAGGAGAGTTTGGAGACTGAGATTGTTTACCCCATCACCTGTGGAGATAGTAAAGCCAACTTGATATGGAGGAAGTTTGTCTGTCCTGGCATTAATGTCAAATGTGTGCAGGTGAGGATATATGACATTCTTCTGGGTTTGAGAGATTGAAGGAAGGAAGACAGATCTTATTTTTGAGTGGGAAGGCTAGTGGTGATAATACATTTCTGAGTGTAAACCAGAACCTGTATACTGTCATGAGTTACAATTAACTTTCAGTTGAAAAATTAAAAAAGATTAAAATGTAACCCTGTATGTCATGGAATTAAACTCTTCCTGTGAACTAGTAGGTTCTATGGATTAGAAGGTGCACATTCCACTCAGGTGTCAGTATTAGGATTGCCTTATGATATCTGGATGATTAAATCAACAAGAATTTACTAAGTGCTTATTAAGGGCCAGGAACTGTGCTAAGTGCTAGGCATACCGGAAAAAGGCAAAAATAGTCTTTGCCCTCAAGGAACTTACCTTTTAAAGGCAGGGGTGGGGGAGAGGGAGACAACATGTATATAAATATAGGCACATATAAGATCTATATTTTGAAAGACTACAGGAGGAAGCTCTAAGTGGGAATTTTGTATTAAAGTTGTTAGACATTTCAGGCCCTCTGTATATTGGCTGAGTATCTTCTCCATTTACCCACCAATTAAAAGAATATTTAACACTTTGTTAACTAAATTTTCTTAGGAAAATCTTTGATTGGAATTGTACCTACAAAGGAAACTGTTAACTAGGCTATATTTTCATTTGTATATACTCTGCACACAGTAGCCATTTGATATTTGTTGAATTAATTTGTTGACTAAATGAATGGTGAAAGATCATAAATGAAGCAATAATAAAATCTCATGCCTTGCTGACAAATGAAGATATAGCCTAGTTAACAGTTTCCTTTGTAGGTCATCTTATAGATGTAAGAGAGAGTTTACATTCACATGTAATGGTGGCTTGAAATTCTGACCTCTACTGTAGGTAAAAGGAATTGGTTCCTCTGATCAACAGGCCCAATAGCTACCGAAGTAGAAAAAGATAATTAAAGATGAGAAGTGGGAAGCAAGACACTTCTTCACAAATTGTTCTTAGCCCAAATTCTATTAGGAAATTGTCCACAGAATCTTCCTCCCTGGAGCTTAGGTTCTTATAAGCAAAGCAAGGATCAGAGCTCTTTTTACTATGTCTGCCAAGATCCAGTGACTCATCTCCAATTTTTTGCTTTTTTATTTTTTGCTTCCTAAATTTAACTATTTAGCCCTAACAATTGTTTGTTGATTCAAGATCATAATTATAAAGTATTTTGTTAGAGGGAGGGCCGCTCTATTTACCATCTGGATATCGTGGTTTCTTTAGCTTCTTCCTCCCTATTTAAGTCCATCTTATGTACTGCAGACAAGATATAATTGTACAGATTGTCATAACCATTGTTAAATTTCTTCAGTGGGCATCCTGCCACGTAACAGATCAAGCAAGCATCAATCTTTGTTTTATGTTCCCGGGACACTCCATAAACTTGTCTTATTCTAACTGCAGCTGCTTTCTACTGTTGTAGCCAGATCAACCTACATGTCATCCTCTATCCTTTCTGCTACATCTAATGTTCTATCTAAACTACCCTCTATGTTTAGACTAGGTTGCCATGCTATGTCATCCTGGGGCTTTTTTCATACCATACCTATAATCCATCCCCTTTAGGAAGTCTTCTCTTATTAGCCTACATGTACTTTATACCCTATATCAAACTGTGGTCTCCACCTAACCCTTCCTTTTGTATAAGTGTTAATATGTATTTGTAGATTTTTTTGTTTATTCTACCAGAGATGGCAAATTGAGCCTGCAAAACTCCTGAGTGCCAAAGCATATTAAAATGTAATTAGGAAATGTTTAACAAAATAAACTAAAATATAATATAACATCAATAATGTTAACCTCTGGTTTTCTAAGTCAGCATGTGGTCCAGAAAGATCTGTTTCTATTTGAACTTGACACCACTGATATAGACAATACCTCTTTCTAGTCACCCATATTATATATGTTTAGACTTTTAGGATTTGGCATTAGATTATAAATTCCTTGAGGGTGCTGACTATATCTGTTTAGATACAGTCAGCACCCTCAAGGAATTTATAATCTAATGTGGATTCACATATAGAGTTTATCTATTTTTCTATCTATCTATCTATCTATCTATCTATCTATCTATCTATCTATCTATCTATCTATCTATTCATTTATATGTTGTCTAGTATCTTCTGTAACTCCTTCTTTGACTCTTCTTCCCAACCCCTTAAAGTGATGGCTTCCCAGAGTTCTGTTTTCCATCTGAATGCTCTCCCTCAGCAGTTTTATCTACTGTCACAGCTTTAATTCTCATCTTTATTTAGATGACTTCCAAATTTCTATCCCTAGAACTAATTTCTCTCCTGAACTCCAGAGGGATATCTCCAACCTCATTGTGCTGGTAGTACTTCCAACTCGACATACTCAAAATAAAGCATACCTTTTCCCTGAAACTGATTCCTCATTCTCACTTCTCAGTTTCTGTCAATGGCACTGCCATTTATCCACTCGTCAGTGCTCAAAATCTCTGTATTATCTTTGATTCTTTCTTCTCCCTCATCATCTGTAGCCAGTCAGTTCCCAGTTCCTATCAATTCTATCATTTCAGTCAGCTCCAGTTCTCACTGATGTCATCCTAATATAGACCCGTATTGCCCTCTCAATGGACTACTGAAAAAGCTTTCTTAATGGTCTTCCTGCTGATATTCCTTCTCCTCCCTCATCCATCCTTGATACTACTGCCAGAGTAATCTTCCTTATGTAAAGATATTTGTAGAGTTTTGCTTTAATGCTATCTTGTGTTGTGGAAGACACCCTGATTTCTTTTCTAAGGCTATGCCAACAAAGTACAAGCCCTGGCAGGTCATACCAAGCTGGAATGATGTCAAATATAGGCCTTAAAACATTTATCTGTAATCTCACGAGCAATCTAAGTACAGTGACTTATGACCAGTATGTTGTTCACTAAATGATGATTTATTTGACCATGGCAACTCATGAAACAGGTCAAAATCCAAAATGGCCCTTATTCCTTTGTGTATTCCTTCTGCATCTTCAGTGGTGGAGGAGGGGGCAGAGGATGTTACCTAGTTTTTAGGCTGTCTCTGAGCTTTAATTGTTTGGTGAATTGATATGGCATTAAATTGTGTTTATAAGGTCAGTTTCAATACAAATGAAGCCAGTATGCAAAAGGAAGTTGCAACTAAATGGAAGGATGGCTTCACAAGCTGTTCTTGAACGGTAATTAAAGAAGTTAGCTGAGTTGGTTTCATTGTGCACTCAAGGATAACAAGAAACTCTTTTTCAAAGAACAGTTGGCTATTTTATATTTGCAGCATTCATGATGAAAGTAGGTAAGGGCATCACCCTGCCATGGACATAGTTTTAGCTTATGAGCCATCATCTATTGTAGAGGATTAAAAAGTAGAGAGATTCTACAAGGAATATGGCAGGTTCCACCAAACCATATTAACATATGATTACTGCAGTGTGAAGGTGAGTACACATTAGTATAAAAATTATGTTGGGAAAATATGATTCACGATAAGAAATGAAATCAAAAGCTTATATATTATTCAGAAGGTTATATCATGAGTAATTTCTACCATCACAAAATATCAGCTACATTTATTTATCTGTCTATCTATCTATCTATCTATTTATTTATTTATTGGCTAGGCAATGGGGTTAAGTGACTTGCGCAGGATCACACAGCTAGTGTTACGTGTCTGAGGCTGGATTTGACCTCAGGTCCTCTTGTCTCCAGGGCTGGTGCCCTATCCACTGTGCCACCTACCTGCCCCCAGCTAGTTATATTTTAACAGACCAATTTGGTTACTCTTGGAGTCATTTCAGAATCAGACATCTATATATTGATTGGTTTAAAAGGCAAAAATATTAAATTGTAAGAAAAAGTAAAGATGAGAAACTGAATGCTGTTATAATGACCCATTTAAATGAGATGTTGACTTTGAAAATGGGAAGTAGACAAAAATAAAGACATTGATTGTGATTATTGCCTTTTCTTAAACTTAACTAGGAAACCAAAAGAACCTAGAAACTGCCTTAGCCAGCAAACAATTTCCTTGCCAGGTGGAGAGACATGGTAGCCAAGGTAACAGCAGTTTAGAATACAAGCTTAATTGTAAAACATTGAGGAGAAGGATGGAACGTTTTGAGCAATGCTATACAACAGTGAAAAACAGTAGAAGGAAAACAAGTACTCAGAAAGCTGGGCATGAAACCCAACTAAGCCAAATTATTCCAAAGGCATTTATAGATTTAATCAGAAAGATATGTAGAAATGAAATGGGTTAGAGCATTTTTGTTATAGTTTATTCTTTTCACTGAAGAAAGTGTTGTGACCTTTCTAATTTTACCTTACACAACTCACTTCTGTACATATTGTGCTTCATCCAAACTGGACTACATGAAATTTCTTTTTTATAGCCAGTATTTTCTTCTGCCTGGAGTACCTCTGCCACCATCTCTCCCTTTTGGAGTAATCCTCATCTTTCAAGATCCAGCTTAAATGTCAATGTTTCTAGGAAATCTCCCCCTAATTTCCAAAGTTGAAGTGCATCAGTAGTACATCAAGGACCTTGGTCTGGGAACTCCCTCCATTAAGGCACATTCCAATCTATATATAATATTATAGTTTAAGTTGCCTGAGGATCAGAGAGGTTAAATGACTTGCTTATGGTTAATGAACTAGTTAAGTGGAAGAGGCAAAATTTGAACCTAGTTCTTCCTAACTCCCAAGGTAAAACACCATCTCTAGCCTCTGCTACCTTTTATTTCCATGGAAATCTTCTACTGACTCTTAGCTCCCTTCCTGTTAACCAATCATTTGTTTTCATCAACTTCAGACTTTTTGAATAATCAGATTTTATCCCTAAAATCATGCCAAATCCTGATAGCACCAAAGATTTTGCCTGATATAATAACTTTTTTTTTTTTGACTAGGCAATGGGTTTAAGTGACTTGCTCAGGGTCACTCAGCTAGTAAGTGTTACGTGTCTGAGGCTGGCTTTGAACTCAGGTCCTCCTGAATCCAGGGCCGTTGCTCTATCCACTGTGCCACCTAGCTTCCCCTGTTGTAATAACTTCTAACCTTCTATGCAGTGAACATTATTTATTACTAGAAGATTGCTATGTGGCAAATGATCCTAACTTTCCTACATTCTTGCATATTACTTTGTACCTATCTTACTCTTTTGTTATAGTTTATTCTACACTATTGTAGCTTTAGATTTATTGAATAGCTTTTCATATTTATGTGTCACACACAGATTGTAAGCCCCATGAGGGCAAGGATTACTTCTTAATTTTCTTTGTATCTCCTCCAGTATCTAGCATTGTACTTTGCACATAAGAAGCACATAATAAGCGGTGAATGTAATGAATGTATAAATTCCTGGTAGTGTTTGAATACTTGGTAGAGTTTTGCTAATGATAATGTAGTCAGAATTTTACACTTGACTACTGATGGTTTTGTTTTTCTTTCTTCTTCAGTATGATGAGCATGTGATCAGCCCTAAGGAGTTTGTCCATTTGGCTGGCAAGTCAACTCTGAAGGACTGGAAAAGAGCAATTCGCATGAATGGGATCATGCTCAGGTCAGCCTATTTGGTAGCAAGTGCCTGGATGACAATATAGCCTCCCTCTCTTAGGGAGAATCTCAGACTGAGCAACAGGTTCTGATCCAGAAGTTGAGCTGATAAGTCATTGCAACCTTAATCATCCACATTTATCATTATGATTATCATCAGATATATCCAGAGTAAGCAGCCCAGTTGCCAGGGCCAAAGCTTCCCCTCTATATTTGCTCATTTGCATCTGGGTAAGCCCTTTAATGCTAAGTTATCAATATTCATAAATCTTTTGGTGACAGGAACCAGGAATTTTCTCTCCATTTAAAAAAAAAACCAAACAAACATTTAGTAGTGGGTAATTTTTCCTGCTCAGAATGTTAAAAGTTAGTAGTTCAGCTAAAATCCTCGACTATTCTGGAATTGACCTTGGTCTTTGGCATGAGGCTACTTGTCCAAAAATTCTGCAGTCAACTTAAGGACAAGTGACTAATTAGCAGAAGGGAAGATCATGGAAGATTTGGATAATTGGAGATAATGAGTGAGGCTAAGTCCGTAGGTAAACAAAGACAGAGAGAAGATGAGGAAGAGAGAAATCTCTGTTTTAGAATTTCAGAGAACTCATTTATAAGCTTTTCAATTTTTCTTTCTCCACTCTGTTTAGGAGGCCAATATGTATCGTTTGACTGATTTTTCCTACTTACCTGTACAAATAATCTACTAGCTACTCCCACTGAATCTGCCATAGCAATGACAAGAAGTTGAAACCAACTTGATAAAAGTTTTTACTTCACCTGACTTCCAGTTCAGCCTTTTCAGCTAACTACCTCTTTAAGACAGCTAGGTGGCTCAGTGGATAGAGCACCGGAGTCTGGAGTCAGGAAGAATTGAGTTCAAATGTGGCCTCAGGCACTTACTAGGTGTGTGACCCTGAGCAAGTCACTTAACCTCTGTCTGCCTCAATTTCCTCAACTGTAGACTGGGAATGATAGTGGCACCTACTTCCCAACGTTGTTGTGAGGATCAAATGAAATAATATTTGTAAAAAAAAAAAAAAGTGCTTAGCATAGTGTCTGGTGCATAGGAGATGCTATATAAATGTTTATTCCCTCCCCTTAAGACTAAGTTCTGGCTTCTAGTTCATCAGCCAGGCGTTTGTGGCTCTTTTCTACATCTTTCCTTTTTCTGATAGCTCATTCCAAAGTTAGTGACAAAGCTCTTAGGCTCTTGTTTTCCATATTGTCTTCCTACAGGGAGTGTAAATGAAACTTTTTCTAATCAACATTTCTTCCACCAACATCTTGCTTGAAATGTTTATAATATTGCCCTCAAAAACTTCTCTTTCTTCCTTCTTCTCTCTCCACCTTCTGTCTTCTCCCTTTTCTCTTACCTCTCTCTCTCTCTTCTCTTTTTTTTTCTCTCTTTCCCTCTTTTCCCCCTCCTCCCTTTTCATTTTGGCCGAGCCTATCCTTTTGAACAACTTTTAGTAAGCTGAAAGGTTGAGTCAATTTAGTCTCCCTCTTAATGTTTCCTTTGATTAATAAGAGTAACTGACATTGATATAGTGCTTTAATGTTTGCGAAGTGTTTTATATTGCAGAATCTCTGACAGGTTCTGAAATTGTTCTGGGATTATATGGGGATTTGTCAACTACAAATGTTTATTATTATCAGTTTTAGAGGTATATTTGTTGAAATTTTCAGACATGTCTACAATATCATTTCAGACATGCTGTATATTCCTTAGTCTTTTTTGGTACTTCTCAGTTTACAGATATAATTTCAAGTTGCCCTCTCTGCCTAGTGGCAGCTCCCAGTATCTTCTTTCATTTTGAGGTTTCCTGGGTATATTTTCCTGTTGCCTTTTGAGTATAATTGTGTCTGTCCCGACTACTGGTTCTCAACCCTCTTGGTTTCAGGACCTCTTTATGCTTTTAAAAAATTATTGAGCATTTCTTTCCATGGGTTTTATCTACTGATATTTACCATATTAGAAATTAAAACCAAAGATTATTATGAAAATAGTCTTGACCTTGCCCAGGGGTCCCTCGACCAAACTTTTAGAATTACTTGTCTAGTCTCTGAGATGAATCCCTTTCACTCTCTTCCTCTGATAATTTACAATCTGCCCAAGTACCTAGAGTTCTCTGGTTGCACAGTCAATCCTAGAATACTTAGCATACTATCCTTCTTCTTGATAATCTTGAAAAAGAAGGAATGGGTCCCTCTCAGGCTGAATGTATGGACTTAACAACTTTTGGCTGATACCTCTAGAAGGGTTTATTGTTAAGTAAAATTGAATGTTATATTCCTTCCAGTCCAATTAGTTTTTTAACCAAATCTCTCCCTGGCTGTTTTAGCAGTGATAACTTCTTTTCAAGTTTGGCCTAAGGTAGAAGAGCTTAATCACCTTTAATATTCCATTCTCATTCTCTTGTTTGCCAAAGCTGGCTTCCTGAGGAAGAAGTCATTTCTCCAGCAGAATAAACTTTCGGTTGAAAAAATGGAACCTTTTGGCAGAATCTCTGTAGCAAAGTGATCAATCCATCTGTGCCAGACATTGACAAACAGATTTTGAAATATTGAGACTCAGATTTGCAAATAAACAAGCTTTAAAACTAAGCCCCACCCCATCATGAGCTTTTTATCTTAGTTTTCTCCTGCCAGAATATGACTTTGTTTTTTTTTCTTCCTTTTGACCACAAATCAGTAACATATTTGTATAGTACTTCATATTTTTTCAAACTGTTTTTTTTGCTTTTTTTAAGTTCCATTTATCTCATTAGACAGAGGGAAGTATAAGTCAGCTGCTGATTTTGTAGAATATGACCTGATATCAGAGCTATAGGGAAAAAGGTGAAAACTTTTTTTTGAAAAACCTCTGCTTAAGCAGTGATGCTATAGGAAGGAGGAAATGGAGAATCCTCGTTCATATAGTAACTTTAAAAAATGTGGCTGATAGTATCTGCCTAGCAGTAATGAGTATCAAGGAAGCCAGAGATGAAAATAACCTGCTACGTTATCTCCATTCCTCTAGAGCCCAAGGCAGAAGGGTTACCTGCAGTAGGCTTTTTGACATTTATTTCTTAGGCTTTAGTTAGAGAGCATAAATTATACAAGCTCTTACATTCTAATATCTTAAGACTTTGTGGCCCATTTCTTTCTGCCCTCCACTTTTTTTTCTGTTTGAATTTTGCTTCTAGAATGACATGGGAGAATGGCCAGAAAATTGTCTCGTTAGTTAGCTTCTGGAGAGGGGATTCTTTAATAGTTCCTTTTGTTAAACAATACTTTTCTCTACATATACGTCAGGATTTGCACTAATAACCAGAATTCTTAAGTGCTATTCCTTTCCTTCTGGTTTCTATAAACATTCTTCATAATTACTTCTTACCACTATCTATGAGTCATTTTTGCTAAATCAAGAATTAGATAATAGTCTATTATGAATCAAACACTATTATTTTTCTGTCTTCATTGGCTTTACAAAAGTGTAGTGGGGCATTTGCATTTTCAAGCAAAAACATAAGAAAGGGCACCCTTACCCTTTCATTGTAAAGCCAAATCGTCTCTAGACCCAGGTGCAATGCAGGGACTTGTTTAGTTGTTTGTAGTTTGGAGAGCAGTCTTTGTCAGTTACTTTCTTCTTCTGTCTTTTCTACTTTATTACCTGTTTTACATTGGCTTTTTTACTTTTCCCATGCCGAAAAGAACAAATGATAAGAGGAATCTTGGTCAAGTTCATAATTTATGCGGTTTCACTAATATATTTCTGAAGAAGCACAGTAATAGGATTTAGAGCTTGAGGGGGAATGTTAGAAAAAGCTTCCCTTCTATCCCACGTTTCTATAGATAAGGAAATTGAAGCCCAGGGAAGCTTAGGGAACAAATGAGTGCCAAAGCCAGGACTAGAACCCAGGTCTCATGATTCCTAGCCCAGTGCTCTTTCCACTACATAACATTTTCTCTTTGTTTTTTGGGATTTGAAAGATCTTTGATAATAATGTAAATATCTCTTACTAAATTAGCAAAACCTTTGAGTAAGTTGAAAGCTGTTGCTAACTGCTATAGCTACTGTGACTTTTCTGTTTGGCTTTTTGATTTAGTGATAATAGTGCTGTATTTGGAGTCAGAGGACCTGGCTTCTAATTCTGGCTCTGCCACTTATACCTTTCTAATTTCTGTGGGCCTCAGTTTCTTCTTCTGTAGAATGAGGGGGTTGAACTAGATTACTGAAGTAAGGTTCCTTTCAGATCTAAATCTATGATTCTGTGATCATATAGCATAAAGGGCCCAAAACTTGCAGGCGCTGCTTGGCAGGAATCTTAACATGTTCTCAGATGCCATAAAATCATTGCAGAAGTTTCTTTTGCCTGAACATATATTATTCCTTAACTTCTTGTTCCAAGTTAAGGCAGAATAAAAGATGATTAGATAGAAAGATAAATAATTCATATTTGAGTTGGGACAATTGTAAGTTTTGACATCAGTGTTACTTTGGTGGTTTGTGATCAGCTTGTGATTATACTCTTATACATAATCCTTTGCCACAGGAAGATCATGGATTCTGGAGAGCTGGACTTTTATCAACATGACAAGGTCTGTTCCAACACCTGCCGCAGCACTAAAATCGACTTGTCTGGTGCCAGAGTGGCTTTAAGTAGTCAGACATCAACAGAATACATCCCTATCACTCCTGCTTCTGCAGATGGTATGTTTTCTTCATGCCCACCGCTGACTGAGCTATATAAATATGGCCTTGTACTTTGTGACTATATTCTAGATACAGGCTTATTTCTCTTGCTTTATGTCAAATTTTGCTTTATATTTATGTTGCTTCCTTTTCTAAATTTACTGTTCTGTTAGGTATAACAGAATAATCACATAATCATATAAGCTAATGTAGATAGTTCAAGTAAATGAGTTCTGGTTGTGGTAAACTCCCCCTTTCAGTGATTTCTGCTTGCAAAAGGAGAGATGAATAAGTGAGACTGCCTCCCTAGCATTACAGGAATTCCTCCTTGCCTCACTGTGTTGGCCTCTTTCTGTTTGTCTCTATTTTTAGTGAGAATATTATATAGTCATTTTACTACTTCATATAGGATTTTGAGTCCCATTTTCTACCAGCTTATGAAATGAACAAATGAGTAATAAATCATTTAGCTTTTTTCACTGAAGTTTGCCTTAATTGAATTATTTATCATTTTCATCTGATAGAATTAAGTAATCCCGAGAATTCTATCTTGTGGTTTTTTTTGAAGCCATAATTAAATGCTAAATTTAACTAATAATATCTCAATGAGCAGTTTTGGATTTCTAACTCTTTTTTAAATGTTTTTCCTCAACTGTTACTGAAGAACTTCATTTGAAAGGGCATTTTTTTTTTTGCTAGTCCTAAAGAAGTAATTCTTTTCTTAATAGTCCTTCAATTATAGCACCTTCATGCCTTTTAGTACTCAGGGAAGAATTTTGGGAGTGTTAGGTCAATTTCATCTGACACTAATTTTAAAAGTTTGCATGGTCCTTCTTAAGCAGAGAATGTGTGATTAAACAGTATCTCATTTAAAAGTCTTGCCCAAGAAATGCTGGTAAGACCTAGAAGCTTCAGGCAGTTAGATATATGGTTATTGATGCTCTTTTGTAAATTATGAGGGAAGGGTGGACTTTAAGTACCTAAGTTCTAATTAAAGCATGTTGTTAGTGAAGTTGTAGATTAGAGCTGTGTAAAGGTCATTTAGCTTTATGTGCCAAAGCTCCAAATCTTTCCTCACGTCTTACAGATCATTCTCCCTTTTTGTCAACTTTGCCAGTATAGTGATTATGAGATGATAACCTCAGAATTAGTTTAATTTGTATTTCTCTAATTATTAGTGATTTTGGAGCATATGACTATTGATAACTTGGACTTTTTCCCTACAAGACTGCCTATTCATATCCTTTGACCATTTATCAATTGGGAAATGGCTATTATTCTTATCAATTTGAATCAGTTCCATATATAGCTTGGAAATGAGTCCCTTGTCAAAAAAACTCATTACAAAGATTTTCCTAGTCTCACAAATCATTGCTTTTGGTCATGTGATTGGTTCAGACACTATGCATGGCTCTTCAGAGATTCATCCCAATATCTGAAAAAAAGCAACCTAATGCCTACAAGATGATTTCTCAGCATTGAGTCATGTATTTAGAAATAAAAATTTTTTTTTAGCATGTAAAGGATGTTAGGAATAATTTAATAATCCTAATTTTACAGAAGAAGAAACTGAAGCCAGGAAAGTTTAAAATGACTTAACCAAAGTCACCCAGCTAATTAGTTGTTTCCTGATTACTAGAAAAGTGCAATCTATGCACTAATATTACAAATACCTATTCTATACTTACTGCAACACTGAGAGGAACCTTCTTCATATTGTATTAGAAACAACTCTTATGTTTTTTATCTTCTCTAGTCAATGCAAGCTAACCAAATAGAAGTATAAATTAGTGACATTAACACAAATTACCTTTGAAATAACTAAGGGGTCTTATAAAGCCTGTGACAGTTCTACCCAGTAAGTACAAAAGAAGAAAAGTTTGTAATCCAGCTCGTTGAAGGCTTGGAGATTTTTCTGTTTTAAGTGGATTCTTATAACATTTAATGTGAGTACTTTATACTAATATAGAATTAGCATCAGTTCAAAGATCTAGTATCTGAAAAAAATTAGAAATTAGTCTAAGCCTAAAATAAATCAAGTTGTTGGCAAGCAAGAATATATGCTTATTAGATAACATTAACCCATCATTCTTTATATTACTCATGTTCTCTGCTAAGTAGTAAGTTATCAGTGTAAGTGGAAAATGTTCATAAAAATTTGTCAGTCTTGCCCAAAGGAAAAAAATTAAGCTACCTAATCTTTATAATTTTTTTAAATTAAATTACTTTATATAGTTAAGGCTGGAGTATGTGCAATTTTAAAAAAATACTCTGTGTAAATGGTAGATTTGATCAGAAATTCTGGAGGAAACACAGGATGGCCAAATTGAGATATATTCAAATAATTTAGTGACGTACCTTTTCAAGACCTTCAGTTCATAGGATTATAAATCAAGACTGAAAAGAAACTTTAGGGGTCTTCTTATCCAACTCCCTCATTTTACAGATGGGTAAAATGAGGACTAAAGAGGTTAAGTGATTTGTCCAGTGTCCAAGACACAGATTGGAAGAGCTGGGATTGAATTCAGATCCTATAACTTTTAAGTTCACTGCCCTCTCCACTGTATCATATTGTCTCCCTAGTTTTTAGTCATTCAACAAACATTTATTAGGTCCCTATTATGGGCCTTGTACTGTGCTAACCACTGAGCATACAAAGACCAAAATAGTCCTTGCCCTCAAGGGTCTTGAATTCAATTGGTGGAAACAACATGTGTACATAACAAATAAATACAAAATACATACAAAGTAAATAAAAAGTAATTTTGGGAGAGAAGAAACAGATAAGGGGTTCAGGAAAGGTTTCATGTAGGAAGTAGCACTTGAGCTTTGAAGAAAGCCAGTGATTCTGACAGATGTAAGTGAAGAGGGAGTGCATTCAGATATGGGAGAAGGCTGATGCAAAGGTATGGGTATGGAAAAATGGAGCGTTATAGGTGAGGAGCAGCAACAAGTAGACCATTTTGATTGGAATGTGGACTAGATGAAGGGAAGCAATGTGTAATAGTTCTGGAAAGGCAGGCTGGAACCAGGAATAAAAGAGCTTTAAATTCTAAACAGAAAAGTTTGTATTTTACCCTAGAGCAGGCCTACACAACCTGTGGCTTGCCAAAGGATTTTGGGCAGCCTGTGAAAAATGTGAAGGAAAACATCCTCTACATTTTTTGCAGGCTGCCCAAAATCCTTGGGCATGTCCATGGGATGCTTACAGCTCAAGGGCTGCAGGTTGTGCAGTCTTTCCCTAGACTCAAAGGGAGCCAGGTACTAGATCTTTTTGATGAAAGTAGTGATACCATTAGTGTTGTGATTTAGAAATAATAGTTTTTCAACTGTGTGGATGTTGAATTAGAGGGGGATGAGACTTGAGGAAAGGAAACCAATTAGGAGGCTATTGCAATAGACAAAGTAAGAGGTAATGAGGGCCTGAACTAGGATGGTGACCATATGAGTAAGAGGGGGATAGATATATGAGATATTGTAGAGGTAGACCACGTTATCCTTGGCAACTGATTTGATATAAGGGGTAGAAGAACATGGAGAGTTTAAGCTGTGAATTGGGGTGATAGGAAGGATAGTGGTACTCTCAGCCGAAATCAAAAAGTTCAGAAGAGAAGGATTTTAGGAGAAAGATAATGAATTCTGTTTAAAATGTTTTGAACTTGAGGTGCCTACAAGACATTCAGTTGGAAGTGTCCAGTTGGCCATTAACAATTTGAAACTAGAGCCCAGGAGAGAGAGAAACTAGGGCTAGATGTGTATGTGTGTGTGTGTATGTGTGTGTGTGTGTGTGTGTGTGTGTGTGTGTGTCTGTCTGTCTGTCTGTCTTGGAGTTGTCTGCATAGAAATGATAAATGAACTCATGGGAACTGATAAGATCACCAGGAGAAAGGGTGTAGAAAAAAGATGAGGATCTAGAACAAAGTCCTCATAGTTATCAGGCATGCTGTTGATGATGATCAAGTAAAAGAGACTAAGAAGGCGCAGCCATACAAGCATGAAGAAAACCAAGAGAGAAGTGGAGAGAATATTAATTGAGGGGAAAGTAGTCAACAATGTCACATGCTTCATAGAGCTCAAGTAGAAAGAGGATTAAAAAACACCAGGGAATCTGGCAATTTAGTGGTTATTGGTAACTTTGGAGAGAGATGTTTCAGAGGAGTGATATAGTTGGAAGCCAGATTATGAGGGGCTGAGAAACAAATGAGAGAAGAGGAAGTAGAGGCAATGAACCTAGGAGTATGGCTGTGATTTAAGGAGTGACAAATACGATGATAGCTTGAAGGAATGGTAGGGTCAAGTGAAGGTTTTTCAAGAATAGGAAAAAGCTGAGCATAATTTTAGCCATAAGAGAAGGAACTGATAGGGAAGGAGGAGGGGGAAGAATTAATATGATTGGGAGTTGGGGATGGAATGGGGCAGTGTGCAACCTGCTAGAGGAGATAGAATCTAGGGTAAAAGTAGAGGAAGAGAGAATAGATACAAAGTCAAGGGGTCTTGAAATGAAGAGTGGAGGAGAAGAGGAAGTTCCAAGTTCTATAAATACATATATATATATATATTTTTTTTTTTTTTTTTGGTGAGGCAATTGGGGTTAAGTGACTTGCCCAGAATCACACAGTTAGTGAGTGTTATGTGTCTGAGTCTGGATTTGAACTCAGGTCCTCCTGACTACAAGTCCGGTACTCTATCCACTGTGCCACCTAGCTGCCCCAAGACCTCTATATTTTCGAAAAAGTATAAGTCAGGATTCTCTATTCAAAGGGAGTACGGAGGGGGGACCATGTGGGAAGCTTGAAGAAAGAAGAAAAGATTTGGAATAGCTCTTTTAGGTCATGAGATTTGAAGAAATTATGATGGGTCAAGTTGTTCTCTAGTATAAACTGAGATGGTACTTGGATTACTATATTTTAAATATTGATTACATTGAATCATAGAAATTTAGATCTGAAAGAGGCCTTCTAGGTCATTTAGTATGTAAGCTTGAGGTTGTTTTATTTTTTATTTTGTTTTATTCTCATTGTTTAACATAGTGCCTTGAACATAGGCCTTAACAGATATAAGTTGGATTGGATCTATTCTAATGCAACTACCTTACTTTACAGATGAGAACCTTTGGCCAGAGATGTTAGTTGACTTGCCTAAGATCACACACATATTTTGTAACAAATCTGGGACTAGAATCTAGGTTTCTTGATTTCCACTCTAGTGTTTCTACTATACTGTGCTACTCTTCTTAAATGTAAGATTGATAAATTAACTGCTGGTATTTCTCCTAGCATCATAAAAAGTCCTCGATTTTTAAATCTAGAAATATGGAAGATACTGAAAAACAAAAGATCAATGAAACTTAAAAATAGTTTATTATAGTCCTGTATGATAATAAGAATAATTACTCTTAGGATGAACCTCCACGGTTCTAAATAGAAAAGATTCAAACAGAAAAATACCTACATTCTGTCATGTTATTGATATTTATGGACAAGATCTTATAAACTGGAGAGTAAATAATGGAGAAAATAGAAGTAGGAACTTAATATGAGGCCAGTAAATATTCAAGTACTGAGATGTATATATGGCATTAAATTAAATTAAAGAGAGCAGTAATATAACAGATAGCAGTTAGAAAGGAAATAAACCAAAATTAACAAAGAAAAACTGCCTACTATTTTGAAAAACAAAATCTGTATAAATGATTGTGGGTTTGGTTTTTGTTCTTGTTTTTGTTTTTGTTTTGGTTGCAGTGAATGGGTCTCCTGCTACAATCACCATAGAAACTTGTGAGGACACTGGTGACTGGACTACCACCATTGGAGGTATAATGCATGAAAACCGCAAGACAAAGGGTAGTGATTGTTGACCATTTGTTTATCATTAATCATACAATTGGAAACTCTTAGAACTTTGAGGAAATGAAAAAGGAGACGTTCAAACAAGGGAATCTGAAGGGAAGGTGCTAGCTATACAGCATTGTAAAAATTATATGTATGGTAAGCTATTAGGGTATAGGAACTATATTTTATGTTATACTTGTGCACATGATAAGGCAAGGTTTGGAAACTGTAATTTGTTATGCAAAGGAGAATAGCTGTCTAAGAAGATGGTATCAGAAAACAGACTTTACATAGCATAAAATAAAAAAAATAAATAGTTTGGTCTGAAATGGAGTACAACTAAGGAAGCTAGTAAAAAAAAGTTTCTTTGCCTGGAAACATGTGAATCTGATCAAAAAGGCTTTAAACTGAAAATAGAAAGTGCAGGAGAAAAACTGCTCATACATATCCACTAAACTAGATACCACAGAATATAACAAGTGGTATATAGGAAGAAGATACCAAATCAAGAGGACTAGTATTTCAAAGCAGATGATATCCAAGAAGAGGGAAACGTGAAACCTTATATCCTACATGTATATGCAAAATATGACTAGTAAACAAGATGAACAAAAGTTATTAATGTGGGGTAGTTAATTACTACCTCCTGGGTATCATTGAAACTTGGTGGGCTGCTACTCATGATTGGAATTTGTTGATGGAAGGGTTTAGTTTTATTCAAAAGGAATGTATTAGTAAGCATTGTATATTAAGAACAAAGGAAGTATATGAAACAGAGGAGAAAAACATGGTGAAGCATATTTCGATGACAATCAATAAAGATCATTCGAAAATTATATTGTGGCATAAGTATACTAAAGACCACTAACCAGAAGGATGAAGTAGATGAAAATTTCAGGAAATGTATTGCAAGCTTGACACAAAGGCCATTTGGATATCTGCTGGAGCTCTTTACTAAAAGGAGAGGAGTTGATACATTCTCGATTAACATTTAATTCTTCAAAAGGCAGCTAAAGTGACCTTAGGAACTCCTATACTGGACTTGATCAGCAAAGAGGTAGCTGAAATGGAAACCTTGGGAAGAAGTGACCACTACATCTTGGAGCTTTGTAGAAAAGGAAGGGGAAAGCTTGGCATAATCCACTGTGCGTCCGATATTTGGGAGGAATTGATTTCAAAAAGAATTTCAAAGAATTGATTTCAAAGATACGTAGGATCTTATTGCTTAAAATTCTACCAAGGAAACTAGCATAGGATGGATGAGAAACTAAGTAAATGCAATTCTGAAAACAAACTGTTGTCGAGGAGAAAATAGTGGAACTCTCTAAAGTGACAAATTTGGAGTTTTATATATATATATATATATATATATTATTTTTTTTTTTAATATAAAAGATGGAAGCAAAGGCAGGTATCAGGATGAACCTAAAAGAATGACACAGTTCTGTAAGCAAAGTGACAAGAATGCTAAAGCTTAGAGTGAGCTGGTGTTGGCAGTGACTGCTGAGGGCAACCAAAAGGACTTTTTAAGGGTATAAGAGAAAGTTTAAAAGAGGGATGGAACCACGAAGGTGCTGGACAGAGGTGGTTATCATGACAGAGAAAAGACCAGAATTAGTTATTTCTGATTTTGCTTCTGTGCTCTCTACCAAAGAGAGAAGTTTTCTGTTGGAAAGGATACAACAAAAATGGTTGACAGGCATTTGAGAGAGAGGATAAGTGAGGCAATATAAACAGAGCGTCTAGCTGTCTTCAGTGTGTTCAAGTCTCTTGGTTTAGATACACTTACATTCCCGAGTACTGAAGAGCTGGCTGGTGAGACTTCTGAACTGTTTGTTGTCTGAGTGCTTTTTGAAAAATCATGAAGAATGAAAGAGAGGCTGCAGGACTGGAGAGAAACAGACAAATGTCTGATTTTCAAAATAAGAGTGTCAGTATTTATTAGCCTATGAACTTCACCTTAATTCTGGGCAAAATTCTATAATTATTTAATTTGTGGTATCAGAGCATGAAAAGAGATCTTGACTGGTTTTTGAGGGATTGATCTCTTGCATTGTTCAACATTTCTGTCAGTGACCTAGATAAAAACATAGGTGACATAATTATTAAATTTGTAGATGACATGAAATTAGAATAGATAACTAAATTAGATGACAGAATCAGGATTCAAAAAAATTGACAAACTGAAACAGGAGTTCTTAACCATTTTTGTATCATATATCCCTTTGGAAGTCTGGTGAAAACTAGGTACTCTTTAAAATAATGTTCTTAAATGCATAGAGTAAAATACAAAAGATTACAAAGGAAATAAATTATATTGAAATGAAGGTGTAATTTTTCCCCCTTGAGTTCATAGGCCCCCTGAAATCTATCCATGAATCTCAGGTTAAGAACCCTTGGTCTGGAATTATGAACTAAATATATGAAATTTATACTTCAATACCTAAGCAGATTTGTAATATCATCATGTATATACTCTGCATTGGTGCAAATCTCAATTCATCCTGCTTTTATCATGCTGGGAAGTTCTTACCATGATCTTCCATAGTAAGATTCTCTTCCCACAGAGGGTCCAGACAAGGTCCAGAAGGCCTTCTAGGATTTTACATTTTGTGAATATTGGTAGAGCACTCTGGCTATCCATGTTTTAACACATAATTGACTCATCTTCTTTTCTAATGATATTTTACTCCAGTTGTAGAAGGGATATCATCATTGGAAATCATAGATGCTCCTTGGAATCCTTTACTTTTTTATATCCCAGTAATGAAGGTCTTCTTGATATAGTTTCATCTTCCTTTAAAGGAGACTCTTTGGTATCTTTTGCTTATTTATACTGAATTTCAACAAAAGCGATTTTTGTTTCAGTACTAGTTAGTATACATAGGCAAAGAATTGTGGGAAATTCTTTTTCTCTCCTCCCATTCCTTAAGTTAGAAGCATTTTATTTAGATTAGGTGTGAGCACTATTAAACTTACGGACTGCTCAGGTGCTACCACCTATGTGAAGCTTTTTCCTGATCCTCTTAGTTATTACCAGTCTCTTCAACTTGAAATTACTTTTGTATTACTTTATACATACTTTGTATGTACTTGAATATATATTGTATCCCACAGTAGAATGTAAGCTTTGAAGGGCAGGGATTGTTTCATTTTTGTCTTTATATAGCTGATGCCCATCACAGCACCTGGTACATAGTAGGCATACATGTTGAATTGGATTGACTTGAAACCTGTTGTTGCCTGCTTGTGCATACCATATACTTCTCTGTTGTTCTTTGAATCACCCCCTGCTTTGACTCTTTGGAGATTGTAGCATCTTGGGATCATTTAAAAGCCTTGTGTAGTTTATCAGCACTAACCCAGCCTACTCTGTTTCTCTTATTCATTTTACTACCCAACTCATTGTTATACCTCCCCCAAATATCTATATTGTTGTACTAATTTAGTGAAGTGGCTATCCAAAGGCATATCATGGTCCACTCAATAGGCATTTCTATCCATTTAGTTTTTCCTGGTTAGATTGATTGGCTAATCTCTTGTCATCGAGGAAGCTCTATAATGTGATGACCGCATCAAATCCCAACCATTGCCTATCAAACAAGAACACTGGGAGACCCTCACCATCTATGGGCATTACCTCTATCATTGGAACCCTAACTCTGTTCAAGAGATCCATGATAGTGTGCACATCTTTGACTAGCACACACTTTCTTGGTATATTTCTCACTAGATATTAATAGTCAAAAGATCATTGAATAAAGTTTTTCAGTGGTTGCATTTATTAAGGAGTCTTGTATGATCAGAGCATATGCAAGAGAAACTCCTTATCCTTAAAGGAAAGCCCTTAATGTTCTGTTTTGCTCTGAGTCAAATGCTTTTTTTTTTTGTTTGCAACCAACAAATAAAAAAATGTAATTTTGTATTCTGTGTACCTTTGAATCACTTAAAACAGCTAAAAAATATGGTCTATTATAGACAATCCCTTGTGTTCTCTTCTCATTCAGTATCAAGTATGACACAGATGCATATGTAGATTCTTTTATTAAAGATTCTGTAAAAATTATTAAATAGCCATTATGGGTTAGTAGTTACTGATAGTCTTAGTCATCTTTTAGGTATTACTATAGCCTATGATTTTTTTTCCTCATTTTGGGGGGAGTATATTCTTCCTGTGATATCTTCTACAAAGAAGAAATAGGAATAAGTATAAAGCTCTGTACTTGGATTCAAGAAATCATCAGCAGAAATACAGATTGGGGAACACCTGGCTAGGCAGTAACTCTTGAAAATGAGTTGAATATTTTGGTGATCTATAAAATAAGCACAAGTCAGTAGTATGACATGGCAACCAAAAAGTTAATTCCTTCTTAGGCAGCATTAATAGATACTTAGTGTTTAGAACATGGGAGGTGACTCTGCCCTGTTCATATCAATCTACAGTATTGGGTTTAGTTATGGGTACTACATTTTAGCAAATACATTGACCAGTTAGAGGTGGTCCAGAGGAGGGTAACCAGGATGGTAGAAGGCCATGCTATATGTTTATTGTTTGAAAGGATTGGGTTTGTTTATCCTGGAGAAGAGAATGTGATAGCTACATTTAAATATATGGAAGGGTCATTCTTCTTCCTGTTCCCAGATGACAGAGCTAGGAGCAATGAGTGGAAGTTTCAGGAGCAGTTTATAGCTTAATGAAAAACTTTCTAACAATTACAGCTATCTAAAAGAAGAATGAGGTACCTTAGGAGGTAGTAGGCTTCCCATTGCTATATGACCATTCATTGGTAGTGTTATAGAGGGGATTCTTGTTCAGCCATGGATTGGACTAGAGGAGAATGGATTTTTCTTCCTACTCTGAGACACTCTGAAATCCTGAAATGAAAGACCTGAAATCCTAAAATGAAAGACCTGTTTCTTATATGCTAGGACCATATTAAATTCCATTCTACTTTTTTTTTAAGGCTTAGCTTAGGTGCCACTCACTGTGTGACACCTTCCCTTCCCACCCCAGTTGCAAGTAGTCTCTCCTTCCTCAAATTACATTATATTATACTTAATTGTTTGCATGTTGTTTCTCCTCAATAGAATGTTAGCTCCTCCAGGGAAGGGACTGTTAAATTTTGGTTTTTGTAGCCCTAGGCTCTAGCATAATGCTTTGTGTATACAAAGTATGTAATTAATCTTTGCTGAATTGAATTCTGAGAAGACAGAGACATTGTTAATTGTGGTAAAACCTCATTCTTGACACCAGAGATTATTTTCTTTTTATTTCTCCAGATGAGACTTTTGCCTTTTGGCGAGGGTTGAAGGATGCTGGTCTATTAGAGGAAGTGATTCAAGAGTTTCACCAGGAGCTGGTAGAGATGATGAAGGGATTGCAGCAGCGGGTCCAGGATCCTCCTTTACAACTTCGAGGTGATAATTTGATAGCTATCATACTACAGTAGCCACAGATTTTTGTCCCTGTATTGTTTGATGATTAGTACATTACCTTCCCTCTTTTAGTTCTATTTTCCTGCCTCAATAGAGATAAGTTTGGGAAAATCATAGCTAATATCCATCCTATGGCATGGGGCTGACTGTCCTATAAAAGTCTGATTTTTAATCTGTCAGCCAGATATTTTTCCAGCTCTTTTGGGAATTCTTGCTGCCAGTTAAGAAAATTGTACCTTATTTAATTTATTATAAGTCAAGTCTTCTGTATTGTATGAATAGCATCAAAGTCTTAAAAGAAATATAGGCTACAAAGTAAAACCTAGATCAAAGATTCCGCCTTTTATGGTAAGAACCTATATTAAAGAATCCTCAAGATTTTAAGAAGTTTTGTTTACATTTTATAACCTCTTTCCATTAGATAGCTCTTACTTTGCTATCCTGGCTTGTTATTTTCCTAAGGAGAATGCCAAGATAATTTGCTTATCTAAAAAGTTGTTTTGGTTTTAGTTTCTACTTTGTGTTCTTGAAAACAATTCAAAGTCCTTTCCTTTGGGAAGTTTTCAGTCTTCTTTCAGAGATTATTATTCCTGTCTTACATTTTCTTTTAAAGATGCTGTTTTACTCAACAACATTGTACAGAACTTTGGAATGTTGGATTTAGTGAAGAAAGTCCTGGCTAGTCACAAATGCCAAATGGACCGCTCCCGAGAACAGTATACTCGAGATTTGGCAGGTATGTATCACTGGGGCAAAAAAATCCAGCCATAATTATGGCCAAGTATCATGCTTTAGAAGAGAATGGTCTTCCCAGGATGTATATTAAGAAATCTGTTGAACAATGATTTATCTCCATTACTAGCAGAAAATGAGTGTTGTATAAATTCAGAACTGCACGTTATTACTTTTGGATTATGTGCTATCATACCTATATTGATGCATACTGTATTTTACCAACTAAACAATAAGTATGAAATGTTCATTTCAGTTCAGTTCAGCAGATAGTTATTAAGCACTTCCATGGGCTAGGCACTGTCCTGCATGCTGGTGAAACAAAGACAAAAACACAATAGTTCTTGTCCTCAAGCAGCTTACCTTCTCTTGGGGGGAAACAACATGTAAATGGATAAGTAAATAGAAAGTATACACAGAGTAATTACAAAGTAACTTGAGGGAGGGAGGAGAATGTTAGCAGCTGAGGGGGTAGACCAGTTGGAGAGGAGAGAGATTGGAATCAGAAAGATCAATTAGGAAGCTATTATGGTTTATGTGAAAGGTGATAAGGGCCAAGTAGTGACTGGGTGAGTGGAGGGAGATGGTGGATGAGAGAGAGGTTGTAAAGGTAAAAACAATCAAACTTGGCAGTTGGTTGGAAATGCGGAGTGAGAAAGAGAAGAATCAAAGCTCCCTTTGAGGTTTTATACTTCACCAATTGGAGGATAGTAGTGCCTCCAATAGGCATAAAGAATTTAGGATTATAATTCTAGAGTATGAAGGGACTTGAGATGCCATATAGTCCAACCCACACATTTTTTTTGACAGTTGAGGAAACTGAGGCCCAGGAAGGTTATGTGACTTGTTCAAAGTCACACAGATCCTCTGACTTTCTACTCTACTGTTCTGTCTTTGGTCAAGATGAGTTGGTTCCATTTTTTAGATTTCTGTGGGATGTTCAGGTGGAAATGTAATTGGTAATATGGGACTAAAAGTCAGAAGAAAAATAAGAGATGGATATATAGATTTGGAAGTGATTCTTACAGAGTATTTGAATCCATGGGAGTTTATATGAAAGTGCATGGAAAAGAGGGTATAGGGTAGACCTCTGGAAAACATATAGGGGCAGCGCATGGATGAAGTTCCAGCAAGAAACTAAGAAAGAGCAAACAGGTAATTGGAGAACCAGGAAAGCCCAGGTAAGAGACAGTATCCAGAGGGGATGATCAGTAGTCTCAAATATTAAACAGGTCAAGAAGAATGAAGATAAGGTCAAGAAAAGTCTGTTGATTTAACAATTAAGAAATTGTTGGTAAGCTGAGAGAATGCATTTTCAGTGTTTTGGTGAAGTCAGAAGTCAGGGTACAAGAATAGTGGAATGAATATGTGAATTTTAACATTATAGTCCTGGATATGCATCTTTTAAAAATAAAATTTATTAATGGTCTTTTGTCCACTCTATCAGTACTTACCTACCTTCCTCTGAATCCCTGAGTAAAAGTTTTCCTTTATTACAATACCAATGCATTGATCATATTTGAGAATACTTGTCTGATTTCTGTACCTCTAGTCCATTGCTTCTCTTCTAAGTCTTTTAAAATCAGAGTCCTGAGGTCTCTCAGAGTTGTTTCTTCTCACATTATTATCATCAATATAAATTGTTCCACTGGTTCTGTATCAATTCACATAAATCCCTCCATATTTCTCTGAAACCATCATATTCATCACTTCCTATAGAACAATAAAGTCTCATTACATATGCATACTGGGATTTGTGCTGCAACTTCTCAATTCATGGGCACTTAACTTTTTTTCTAGTTCTGTGCTACCACAAAAATTGTTGTTGTAAGTATGCTTGCTCCTTATAGATCCTTTTGTCTTTGATCTTGTTGGGGGACGTGACTATTTATGGGCATGTAAGTAAAAGTGAAAGTGAGTAAAAGTATAGTTTAGTGAATTTAGGGATATAATTTCAAATAATTTCAAATTGCTTTCCAGAATGTTGGAGTTAATTCATGACTCTTCCAGTAGTGAATTATGACCCTGTCTTCTCAAAACCCCTCCAACAATGGCTGTTTCCTCTTTTGACATCTTTGCCAATGAGGTGGAACCTCAGAATTGTTTTAGTTTATATTTCTCTTATTATTAGTGATTTGCTGCAATTTTTCAAATGTTTAATTGTTTAATTAAGCTTTTACTTGAAATCCTAATATTCAGCATCATTACAGCTACTTATACTTGTAGCTATAATACAGTATATATTGCATATAACCATATAGTTAAATTATAGCCATATTTAGTTAAATTAATTTCAATGAATAAAGTATAACTTTCTTCTTTTCCAATATCAATTTCTATCCACCAACTAACCCACCTTCCCCACCCAGTCAAAGCCCCTAGTAGAAGTGCCCCCATGAGATAAATACCCATCAGATTGACAAGGATGATAAAAGCAAAATAGTAATTGTGGAGTGTGTATATATGTATACATTCATGTATCTACATGTATACATTTATGCAAGAGTACATGTAAGAATACATACATATATATTGTATACAGCATATATATATATGTACACACACACACACATATCTATATGTACATGGCATGTAGAAGTCTCAAGGTATATAACCAAAGATGTGGGGGGAAGTTATAAACTTTGTTATTATTATTATTTTAAAAAGGCAACAGAAAGAACATCAATAACTACCGACCTACATGCCTATTTTCCCATCTCTACCACGTTTTTATGAGAGTAATATATGCACCCATTAAGGGAGTTTCTGATGAAGTCTTTAGTCAGGCTTTCATAAGTGATATTCTGCATTAGTTTATATCTCTATGGTCACATAATTTTATCTGAATTCTAGAGATTACAGGATCCCATTCTGCTTATTGTTTGATGATTATAAAAAAGCATTTGATTTGGTAGAGCAAAAATGTCACTCTAAAGGTTCTCTTCCAGAAAGCTTTTCCCATGTATATGTGAAAATCATAGATAGTACCTTGAAAGTATAACAATAGGGAGAACTTTGTTCAACAATTCTCTGATTATTCATGTCAAGTGAAGCGTAGGCAAGGAGATGTATATTTGCCAAAGGCATTTGCCACCATCATAAAATATGATCAATATAGAGTCCAAGTTTAAGAGAGATTCCACGTAAACAATGAGGACTTCAGGTATTCCTGTTTGTGGGTGACATGCTTATCACATCAGGCCTCAGAATATCATGGAGTAGACTCCAAATTCATAATCACTCAACTTTTTGTCTTACCTATCAAAATAGAGAAACCAAAAGGATGAAGAGTGTTCATTGTTTAGACTGTGTTCACTTGCATATACAACTTAGAGTTGTCCTAACATAATTTTGGACACTCAAAATGGGCACTGAGCTAGACCCAGAATTGAACAGGAAAAGGATGTTTGCCTTTGGAAAACTGCATGATTTTAAAAATTAAACAAAGATCCATCTTTTGAACACCAGTTTTCCACCACTGCTGATGTATAACTATGATTCATGGCATACGATAGTTTCTGGAGAACTGAAGTTGAAGATCACCCAGAGAGCAAAGAAGAAGCACATGGTGAATGTGAGCAGACTGAAAAGTGCTACAAATAAGGAATTGGTATAAAGGATGCTATTGGAGAAATGTACAACAGAAAAAAAGATAGGCTAGTCACATAACAAGAGCAAAGGGTAACCGACAGCCTTCATACTTTCTTCATTGGTATCCACGCAGTATGAAAAGAATGTTTGGAAAGCCACCAGCCCAGTGGGTTGAGCCCCATGGTAAATTTTTGGGAGAGCATGGACAAGACTCACAAAGAGTGGGTTGTAGTTTGCATCATTGAGGAAATATCCACATCATTTAGCTTACAGATCCAGTGAAGTATCTATATTCTATGACCTCTGTGTAGCATTCTACATTTTTGACCACTTCTATTAAAGCTTTTTCAGATGTTTCACAGATATGGCTGGAGGGAGAGTTCTTAAGCATATAAGAGATAATGGCCATCCATCACAAAGGATGAAATAGGTAATATCAGTTACAAGAAATTGAAAAACTTTTGCACTAACAAATCAGTGCAGTTGGAATGAGAAAGGAAGCTATAAACTTAGAGAAGTTCTGACTCACCATACTCATAGTTCTCCTACTTAGATAATTTATCTTTGTCTCTTTCATTGGTTCTTCATCTTCTTCCTGATACTTTAAAAATGGATGCTTACCAAACTTTGTCCCCTTTCATCTTCTCTTTTCTCTTTATAGTCTTATCACAAGGCAGTTTCATTCATTCCCATAACTTTAGCTTCTGCCTTTATTTAGATGTATCCAAAATGTTTTTCTCTGGCTCTCATTTTTTTTTGTAAGCTCTAGACCTGCATCTCCAACTATCTACAAGACAGCTCCAGCTAGATTTCACACCATCACTTTAAATTAAATGTGCCCCAAATTAAAATTATTATCTTTTGCTATAAATCTGTTCCTCCTAACTTCATTACTTCAAGGATGGGTACCACCTCTTACCCATGAAGTCAGAATGTTAGAGCTGGAAGGGATCATTTGAGATAATATATTCCTTCAGATTCATCTTATGGATGAGAAAAATGAGATCTGTAATGGAAAAGTCACTTGCCTTATGTCACACAGTAAAATATCAGGCTGGAATTCAAATCCAGGTATCCTGAGCCTTTTGACTATAAATACGGTGATTTTTTTGCTACATCGTGCTCTTCCTATGTTTGAAATACTGGTCTTTGATTATTCTGTTTTGCATACTTCTCTTAGGTAGTTTCCAAATCCTCTTGATTCTACTTCTGATAATATCTTTTGTATCCATCCCTTTTTCCATGTTTCTACTAACAATACCTTAGTATATGACCTTACTACTTCTCACTTGGACTTTTTGTAAGTCTCTTAAGAGGTCTTCCCAACTATATTTTTTCCACTCTTGAGTCCATCCTCTGCATATCCTTTAGTCCAAAATTAATCTCCATGGCTCTAAAAGTCTTTGATGACAG